CACACACACACACAGGAAGTTTCCACCGTCGTGACACTCCTCAAGAAAAACCCACGACACTCCTGGAATAAACATACAACAACTTTATTGTACAAGTGACGTAAGAGACGCGCCACAGAGCGATAAACGTCAGCCCGAGGAGCAAACGGTGTCCCCAAGACGCCACTCCAAGGATGATGATGTTGATGATGCCCGCGCGAGTGACGTCAAAGTGGTCACCAACCAATCACCTAGAAAGCGCCACCCTTTGACGTCACATACCGTTTCAACCTATGCCGTGTATTCTGACGCAGCCACACCTGAAGCACCGGGTTTGATGACTGGATATCAAGCGGTATTACTCATGACGGCGTAATGAACAAACTGTCAAGGTTGTGGGATATTCTTGAGTAGTTTGTTGAATATGTTTCATGGTTTATTAATATATTAGTCAATGAACAAATTTATTAACAAAAGTGTATCGTCGAAGGAAATATCTACCAGTGACGTCAGTGAAGGTATCAATGACGTCAGGTTTGTCAAGCATTAAAATAAATGTTATTTTTGGAGTTTGTTAATAGTGTATCTATATATGTACATACATAGGCACACTATTAACGTCTTCTGTACACACTATTAACGTCACCTGTTCTCACACACACACACACACACAAAAGACTTTAAACACATAAAATTGAGGTCGTATGCAAATTTAGGTTAACTGGAATACCGTAACGTTATATTGTGTGTATGTGCATGGCAGTGTAGAATATTTTACTTGTTGTATAAATGTAAGGGGGGGGGGGAACTTTTGACACAAACTGTTATGTTTTACGGTGTGTGCGTACGTACATGTAGCTGGCATAGAGGTGGCTTCCCGTGAGGTGGATGTTGATGGGAGGGGGTGGTGGTTGGGAGGGAAGGGAGGGGAGGGGGTTGGTAGAAGGGTGTAGTTGGTAGCGGGAGCACAGGAAGGGGTTAGTGAACTTACGACCGTTGCTTCATTTAAATGCGCTATTTTTTATACCTACTCCACCTTTGCAATGATGTTTTTTGTTGCATACGGTGGCCTATATCGTGTGTGTGTGTGTGTGTGTGTGTGTGTGTGTGGCGTTAATAGTTCACCTAAATTGTTATTAAGCGTATCTTGTTAAGGTAAGAATCCAGTGTAAAATTGTCAGTGTTATTCTTAGTGTTAGGCTAGGTTGAGTTAGGCTTAGTTAGGTTGGGTTAAGTTAGGTTTGGTTTAGTTTTATTAAATTAGGTTTGACTAAGTTAGGTTAAAATGGTTAGTGTGAAGGGGTTAAGTAAAGTAAATTCTCTTTGGGAAAAATTATGATAATTTTTTACCTTTGAGTACGATAACTTAATCCCTTGAGTACGGTGACTTAATCCTTGAATGCTATGACTTATTTCCTTGAGGAGGATAACTTAATTTATTGAGTATGATAATTTAACCCCTTGAGTATGATGACTTAATCCATGAGTATGATTACTGAACCTCTTGAGTACAGTGACTTCTCTCTTGAGTACGATGACTTAATCCATGCGTATTTAACCCCTTGGGTACATAAGAACATAAGAATGGAGGAAACTGCAGCGGGCCTATTGGCCCATACTGGGCAGTCCCATTTACACCCAACCCCTATTGCTCATATATCCATCCAACCTATGTTTAAAGTTATCCAGGGTATTCGAGTTAATGATGATATTTGGTAACTTGTTCCACTCGTCCACTACTCTATTTCCAAACCAATGTTTACCTATTTCGCGCCTAAATCTAAATTTGTCTAATTTAAAACCATTATTACGAGTTCGCACCTGGTTGGATAGTTTGAGTATCTTTGTAATGGCCCCTTTGTTCAGCCCTGACTTCCATTTATACACCTCTATCATATCGCCCCTCACTCTACGTCTCTCGAGGGAGTGCAAATTAAGATGCTTTAACCTGTCTCTGTACTCAAGGTTCCTAATGCCCGGAATTAGCCTTGTCATTCCCCTCTGAATTCTTACCAAGGATTCTATATCCATTCTGTAATACGGTGACCAGAATTGAACTGCGTAATCCAAGTGAGGTCTCACAAGCGCAAGATAAAGTTTTAGGATGACCTCGCTAGTCTTGTAACTAACACTCCTTTGTATGAACCCAAGTACTTTATTAGCCTTGTTACGAGCAAAAACACATTGTCTACTTGGCTTAAGGTTCCTACTTATCATTACTCCTAAATCTCTCTCGCAGTCGGATTTCTCTATGGCATCTTTGTTCATCTGGTATCTGGTTTCCCTGTTTACATCTCCTGTACTGAGTACTTTACATTTGTCCACATTGAATTCCATCTGCCATTTTTCAGACCATTCGAAAATTTTTTTTAGATCTTCCTGTAGTTTTGCGGAGTCCTCGTCAGATTTAATTACATGCCCTATTTTAGTGTCATCAGCAAATTTATTTATGTTGCTGTCTACGCCGATATCTATGTCGCTTATGTATATAATAAATAATAATGGTCCAAATACTGAGCCTTGGGGAACTCCACTAGTGACGTTGCTCCAATCGGATTTAGTGTCGTTAATGCTCACTCGCTGTTTACTGTCCTGTAACTACGCCCTAATCCATTTTAGAATATCTCCTTTAATGCCATGAGCCTCCACGATGACTTAACTCTTGAGTATGATAATTTAACCCCTTGAGTACGATGACTTGACCCCTTGAGTATAATGAATTAACCCCTTGAGTATGATGACTTAACCCCTTGATTACAGTGATAACCTCTTGAGTACGACTTCACCCATTCAGTATAATGACTTAGCCCTTTGAGTACGAAGACTTAAACCCTTGAATACGATAACTTAACACCTTACATATGATGACTTTACCCTCGAATACAATAATTAAACCATTGAGGACGTCGACTTAACCCCTTGAGTATAATGGCGTAACTCCTTGAGTACAATGACTTTACACCTTAAGTACGATTGCCTAACCCCTTGAGAACGATGACCTGACCCCTTGAGTACGATGACCTAACCGTTTGAGTACGATGACCTAACCCCTTGAGACGATGACCTAACCGTTTGAGTACGATGACCTAACACCTTGAGTACGATGACGTAACTCTTTGAGTACGATGGCCTAATCATTTGAGTACGATGGCCAAATCATTTGAGTACGATGACCTAACCCATTGAGTACGATGACCTAACCCCTTGAGTACGATGACCTAACCCTTTGAGTACGATGACCTAACCCTTTGAGTACGATGACCTAACCCCTTGAGTACGATGACCTAACCCCTTGAGTACGATGACCTAACCCTTTGAGTACAATGGCCTAATCCTTTGAGTACGATGACCTAACCCCTTGAGTACGATGGCCTAACCCTTTGAGTACGATGACCTAACCCCTTGAGTACGATGACCTAACCCCTTGAGTACGATGACCTAACCCCTTGAGTACGATGACCTAACCCCTTGAGTACGATGACCTAACCCTTTGAGTACGATGGCCTAATCCTTTGAGTACGATGGCCTAATCATTTGAGTACGATGGCCTAATCCCTTGAGTACGATGACCTAACCCCTTGAGTACGATGACCTAACCCTTTGAGTACAATGGCCTAATCCTTTGAGTACGATAACCTAACCTCTTGAGTACGATGACCTAACCTCTTGAGTACGATGACCTAACCCTTTGAGTACGATGACCTAACCCCTTGAGTACGATGACCTAACCCCTTGAGTACGATGACCTAACCCGATGACCTAACCCTTACGATGACCTAACCCCTTGAGTACGATGACCTAACCCCTTGAGTACGATGACCTAACCCTTTGAGTACGATGGCCTAATCCTTTGAGTACGATGACCTAACCCCTTGAGTACGATGACCTAACCCTTTGAGTACGATGACCTAACCCCTTGAGTACGATGACCTAACCCCTTGAGTACGATGACCTAACCCTTTGAGTACGATGGCCTAATCCTTTGAGTACGATGACCTAACCCCTTGAGTACGATGGGCTAATCCTTTGAGTACGATGACCTAACCCATTGAGTACGATGACCTAACCCTTTGAGTACAATGGCCTAATCCTTTGAGTACGATGACCTAACCCCTTGAGTACGATGACCTAACCCCTTGAGTACGATGACCTAACCCTTTGAGTACGATGACCTAACCCCTTGAGTACGATGACCTAACCCTTTGAGTACAATGGCCTAATCCTTTGAGTACGATGGCCTAATCATTTGAGTACGATGGCCTAATCCCTTGAGTACGATGACCTAACCCCTTGAGTACGATGACCTAACCCTTTGAGTACGATGACCTAACCTCTTGAGTACGATGACCTAACCCTTTGAGTACGATGACCTAACCCCTTGAGTACGATGACCTAACCCCTTGAGTACGATGACCTAACCCTTTGAGTATTTAAAAGTAAAGCCATCTTACTCAAATACTTAAGGAATCAAGTCGTCGTATCACGGGGTTAAGTATTTAATTTTTTTAACAATAATAATAATAATGATAATAATAATGATAATAACAATAATTACAACAATAATAAAACAAACAAACTCATATCCACTCTAAAACACACACACACACACACACACACACACACTCATACACACACACACTAAAGACCTACAGTATATGCAAATTAAAGGTAACTCAACCCTCTATATTTTATTTCAACCAGTTCATTGTTCCCAACACATTGTTCAACAAACCACAGGGGAAAGCAACATCCGGTCAACAGGGCGTATGTGCGTAAATACGGTGGGGGGGGAGGGGAGAGGGAGGGAGGAGATGGAAGGGAGGAGGGAGAGAGAAATAGAGAGAGGAGGAAAGGAAGGAGAGCAAATTTTACAAACGCCAGGGCAGTACAGTACAGGGCGAGGAGAGATTCAACCTTCAATAGGGAGAGGGGAGGGGGTGGGGGATTGAGGGGAGGGGAATGGGAGGGAGGGGAGATGGAAGGGGGCAAGTTTCAGGTATATAAAGGTTGGGCGGTGTTGAGGTCTCCAACAGTTGTCACACAAACTATCCCACATAGTACGCTTCTCTCCGTAACAAGCAACTAACGCATCATGAAGTCAGGCGTCGTGTTTCTGCTGTTGGTCGCGGCTGTCAATGGTCTGCCTGCTGACTCCCCGGAAGACAATGGTTAGTCTCCTGTCTGTCTGTCTTGCTCTTTTTTCATCTGTATATCTAACTGTCTTTGTGTCTACTGATGTACCCATACCAGTCTATCTATCTGTCTGTCTGTCCTTCGATCAATCTATCTATCTATTTATCTGCCTGCCTGCCTACCTGTCTGTCGTGATAAATACCATGTCATGTCATTTATACATTAGAATAAGTATCATGTTTTAATTCCTTAACGCACCTGTCATTACCAACAAGATTTATTAACACACCTGTAATTACCACCAAGATTTATTAACACACCTGTAATTACCACCAAGATTTATTAACACACCTGTAATTACCACTAAGCTTTGTTAACATACCTGTAATTACCATTGATTTTTTAACACACCTGTAATTACCACCAAGATTTATTAACACACCTGTAATTACCACTAAGATTTGTTAACACACCTGAGCCAAGGTGGATGACCAGAAAACTTAAACATGACATAGGAATAAAGAAAGGAATATATAAGAAATTAAAGGGAGGGGAGGAGCAGCTCAGAAACAGGTATAATGAACTATCTAGGAATGTTAAGAAAAATGTAAGGAAAGCAAAGAGAGACTATGAAATCAAAATAGCAAGAGAATCCAAGGCGAATCCCAAGGGAGTTTTCCAGGTACATAGGACAAAGGTCAAGGACAAAGTTGGGCCTTTAAAGTCAGGGAGGGGAGAATTGATAAATGGCAGTGAAGAAATAAGCAAAGCATTGAACAGCTACTTCTTATCAGTTTTCACAGAAGAAATTTGAGATGAAATTCCGGAGGTGGAACTGATATTTAAGGGAAAGGAAGAAGAGAAATTAAAGAATATCACTATCAAAAAAGAGGATGTTCTTAAGAAGATAAATAAACTAAAGAACACAAAATCCCCAGGGCAGGATGAAATTTTTCCTCTAGTCTTAAAAGAGTGTAGGGAACAGATTAACGGACCCCTCGTAAACTTATTTACAAAATCATTAGACACTGGAGTTGTGGAAACAGGCGAATGTAGTACCCATATTCAAAAAGGGAGACAGAGCATCAGCCTCAAATTACCGGCCGATCAGTTTGACGTCAGTAGTGGGGAAATTTCTTGAATCAATTATAGCAGATAGCATCCGATCGCATCTAGAGAAAAGCAAATTAATCTACGACTCTCAACATGGGTTTACAAAGGGAAAATCTTGTCTAACAAATCTGCTAACGTTTTTTAGGAAAGTCTTCGAGGTAGTAGATAATGACGAAAATTACGATGTTATTTACTTAGACTTTAGCAAAGCATTTGACAGAGTACCGCATCAGAGGCTTCTGAGAAAAATTAAGGCTCATGGTATCGAGGGGAAAGTTTTAAATTGGATAAAATCATGGCTCACCGATAGAACGCAGAGGGTCAGCGTAGATGGTGTTAAATCTGAGTGGGGCCGTGTAACCAGTGGGGTTCCCCAGGGGTCAGTACTAGGCCCACTCTTGTTCATAATCTACATAAACAATTTAGATACTGGGAGCAGCAGTGACATAAGCAAGTTTGCGGATGACACCAAAATAGGGCGGCAAATAAATTCAGGGCAGGATGCAAATGCATTACAGGAGGATCTAAATAAACTGCAGAATTGTGGTCTGGCAAAATGGCAAATGAAATTCAACACCAGCGAGTGCAGCGTACTTAATATTGGAAGAACAAATACTGTCAATGTATACAGCCTTAACAACATCAACCTAGAAAAGTCGACTTGTGAAAGAGACCTAGGGGCACTTGTATGCCCGGACCTATGGCCTAGAAAACAGTGCGTTAATGTTCGAAATAAGGCAAACAGAGTATTGGGTTTTATATCTAGAAGTGTAAGTAATAAGAGTGCAGAGGTCTTATAGCAACTATATCTTGCGCTAGTCAGGCCGCACCTCGATTATGCGGTTCAGTTCTGGTGCCCCTATTATAGAATGGATATCAATTCACTAGAGTCGGTGCAGCGAAGAATGACAAAAATGATTCCGGGACTTAGAAACCTTCCATATCAGGATAGGTTAAAGAAAACTTGCATTCCCTAGAAAGACGAAGAGTGCGGGGAGATATAATAGAAGTATTTAAGTGGGTGAAAGGAATCAATAAAGGGGATATAGATAAAGTTCTTATAATATCCGAGCAGGATAGGACTCGGAGCAACGGATTCAAGTTGGATAAGTTTAGGTTTAGGAGGGAGATAGGAAGAAACTGGTTCACAAATAGGGTGGTGGACGAGTGGAACAAGCTTAGCAACTTTGTAGTAAGTGCGGGAACTCTGGAAAGTTTCAAAAGGAGGCTAGATAGATCCATGGATGATAGAGAGTGGTAGTAACTCTCGACAGGAGCTGCCATGCACAGGCCAACCGGCCTATTGCAGACTCCTTATTTTCTTATGTTAATTACCATTGATTTTTTAGCACCTGTAATTACCACTAAAATTTGTTAACACACCTGTAATTACCACTAAAATTTGTTAACACACCTGTAATTACCAGGCTCGGAGGAGGAGGGACTGGCCAGATGCGGGCGTGGCCTTGTGTACAACGCTCAGACAAACGAGTAAGTATTATAAAGGTATAGATAAATAGATACAGGTACAGACTCAGGTACAAGTAGAGGTAGAAGTACAGGTACACAATACATCCTCAATATCTGTTCAATTTTCTGTGGGTATGAATATACATTTCATTTGTTTGTATTGGTTGATTGCAAAACGTAAACACACACACAGTGAATATGGATTTGACTAAAATCACACGGGAAAAGGGAAACAACGGAGTATCTTAGCTTTCGTCTTTATTCAAGACATCTTCAGGGGCAACTGGATTACATGGACAGAGAGAGGCTTAAATATACAGAGTGACCTTAAAAACATGAGGTCAGGTCATAATGATGTCATCCACTAATCCCCACACCAACACACACACGTAGAGGAGCTTAAGAGAAGGGGGTGACGTGACTGGTCAGGTCAAAAATAAGGGACCCACAAAATAACTATCATACATCTAGATCAAAGGTTTTCAAAGCATTTTTAACCTTGGGCCACTGACAAATAAATTTATGTAACATATTATCAGTTTTGAACTGACCATCACTAAGGTTTATTGATTTTAATTCCTTAATCAGACTAGCTTCAACCATATCTAAGTAAATACCTGAGAGATTGATAAGGAAGGTAGAAGCACATGGAATAGGTGGATCAGTATTAAAATGGATTAGGTCATGGTTAACTGGTAGGAAACAAAGAGTCAGCATAAATGGATTAAAGTCAGACTGGGGTGCGGTCAAAAGCGGAGTTCCCCAGGGATCTGTATTAGGCCCTCTGCTGTTTGTTATATTCATTAATGATCTTGATTTAGGCATAACTAGTAGGATTAGTAAATTTGCAGATGATACCAAAATGGGGAGAGTGATAAATTCAGACAGTGACTTTGAACACCTTCAAGAGATCTAGATACCTTACATGAGTGGTCAGTAGACTGGCAAATGAATTTTAATACTGATAAATGCAAGGTACTACAGATAGGGAAGACGAATACAAACGTTAAGTATAAACTAGGTAACACGGAAATAGAAAACTCAGTTTGTGAAAAAGATCTAGGTGTATTTGTTAGCAACGACTTGAAACCTAGAAAACAATGTATTAGCGTTCGCAACAAGGCAAACAGGATTCTTGGGTTCATATCTGGGTCTGTGAGTAACAGAACTGCTGACGTTATCTTGAAACTTTACCTAGCATTAGTGAGGCCACACATGGATTATGCGGTTCAGTTCTGGTGTCCTTATTATAGAATGGACATAGATTCTTTGGAGAGAGTACAAAGAAGAATGACAAAATGATCCATAATATTAGAAACCTTCCATATGAAGAAAGACTGAAAAGCTTAGGCTTACATTCATTAGAGAGGCGTAGAGTTAGGGGAGATATGATAGAGGTGTACAAGTGGGTAAGTGGGATTAACAAGGGTAAAATGGAAGATGTTCTGAAGCTCAGTAATAACGAAATAACTAGAACAAATGGCTTTAAATTAGATAAATTCCGATTCAGAAAGGATATAGGCAAGCACTGGTTTGGTAATAGAGTTGTGGATATGTGGAATAGGCTACCGAGTGCTATAGTAGGATCGGGGACGCTAGGGAGCTTCAAGACGAAGTTGGATAGGCACATGGAAGTGCTGGGATGGGTGTGAAAGGGATCTGCCCTGTATGGGCCAGTCGGCCTCCTGCAGTATCCCACTTTCTTATGTTCTTATATATTCGCATATGAGTAGATCTTTATATTATTTATGTGTGTTTATGTGTACAAGCAGTGTCTGTATTCGTCGACGTTTGTGTTTATTTGTAAATTGATGTATATTTGTGAATAAATCCAATACACTTACACACAATGACTATTTATTATTGAAATACTACTACTACTCCTATTAATGATAATAATACTTGCTTTATGTACTTTTCAACAGATGTGAAGAGAGTGTCAGCGTGCAGTTGAAGAAAAGAGATTGCCCAGCTGGTTCCGTATGGCAATCTGAGTTACAGTCATGCGTGGATCCAAAGACAGGTGAAGTAGTCAGTGACAGCAGCGGTAGTCGTGTTAGCAGCGGCTCCAAGCAGAATAATCAAGAAAATGAGCCTGCCTCACCCACAGTTGAGGATATCAAAGAGCAAAAGAAGAAGTGTAAGGCGAATGGTGGCTTTTGGAACGACAACATTTCGGCGTGTTTTGATATATAACTCAATACAAGAGTAAACACACACACGCGCGCGCGAAAGGAGGAAATCAGCTATTAGGTCCTTATGTGGTTCATATGGTTCAGAACCACTATTGTTCATCAAGGGACATTCATCAGCACTTCTTCAATGATTCATGACTGGTTCTTCAGCCCGATTCATGACTGGTTCTTCAGCCCGGTTTATGACTGGTTCTTCAGCTCGGTTCATGTTATAAGTAATTTAATCGTTGTCTCTTAAATAACTAAAAAATATATATATTTCACTAATATTCATTATAAGTAAATCGAAAAAAATTGTCGTTTTCCTGTTGAAAATTTCTACCAAAATATATTTATATATTTTTTTCGTTTTAAGAATTTATTCGATAATTATATTTTCTTATTTGGTTTAGTTAAATAAAATTATTTAAAAACTACGTTTTTCAATATTAATTTCATTATATATATACAGTATACTGTATATATATATATATATATATATATATATATATATATATATATATATATATATATATATATATATATATATATATATATATATATATATATATTGATAAAATCACACAGGAAAAGGGAAACAACGGAGCACCTTAGCTTTCGTCTTTATTCAAGACATCTTCAGAGGCAACTGGATTACATGGACAGAGGCTTAAATATACAGGGTGACCTTAAAAACATGAGGTCAGGTCATAATGATGCCATCCACTAATCCCCACACCAACACACACGTAGAGGAGCTTAAGAGAAGGGGGGTGACATAAGAACATAAGAAAATAAGGAGTCTGCAATAGGCCGGTTGGCCTGTGCATGGCAGCTCCTGTCGAGAGTTACTACCACTCTCTATCATCCATGAATCTATCTAGCCTCCTTTTGAAACTTTTCAGAGTTCCCGCACTTACTACAAAATTGCTAAGCTTGTTCCACTCGTCCACCACCCTATTTGTGAACCAGTTTCTTCCTATCTCCCTCCTAAACCTAAACTTATCCAACTTGAATCCGTTGCTCCGAGTCCTATCCTGCTCGGATATTATAAGAACTTTATCTATTTCCCCTTAATTGATTCCTTTCACCCACTTAAATACTTCTATCATATCTCCCCGCACTCTTCGTCTTTCTAGGGAATGCAAGTTAAGTTTCTTTAACCTATCCTGATATGGAAGGTTTCTAAGTTCCGGAATCATTTTTGTCATTCTTCGCTGCACCGAATCTAGTGAATTTATATCCATTCTATAATAGGGGCACCAGAACTGAACCGCATAATCGAGGTGCGGCCTGACTAGCGCAAGATATAGTTGCAATAAGACCTCTGCACTCTTGTTACTTACACTTCTAGATATAAAACCCAATACTCTGTTTGCCTTATTTCGAACATTAACGTACTGTTTTCTAGGCCGTAGGTCCGGGCTTACAAGTACCCCTAGGTCTCTTTCACAAGTCGACTTCTCTAGGTTGATGTTGTTAAGGCTGTATACATTATAAGTATTTGTTCTTCCAATATTAAGTACGCTGCACTTGCTGGTGTTGAATTTCATTTGCCATTTTTCAGACCACCCCTGCGGTTTATTTAGATCCTCCTGTAATGCATTTGCATCCTGCCCTGAATTAATTTGCCGCCCTATTTTGGTGTCATCCGCAAACTTGCTTATGTCACTGCTGATCCCAGTATCTAGATCGTTTATGTAGATTATGAACAAGAGTGGGCCTAGTACTGACCCCTGGAGAACCCCACTGGTTACACGGCCCCACTCAGATTTAACACCATCTACGCTGACCCTCTGCGTTCTATCGGTAAGCCATGATTTTATCCAATTTAAAACTTTCCCCTCGATACCATGAGCCTTAATTTTTCTCAGGTCAAAAATAAGGGACCCACTAAATAACTATCATACATCTAGATCAAAGGTTTTCAAAGCATTTTTAACCTTGGGCCACTGACAAATAAATTTATGTAACATATCAGTTTTGAACTGACCATCACTAAGGTTTATTGATTTTAATTCCTTAATCAAACTAGCTTCAACCAGAAGTCTTTCTGTGACACAAGATGATTTAAATACTTCTAAGCTTTTTTCCCAAGCAATGGGATGATTATTATGCCTAACATGAACGAACAAGGCACTGCTTTCAGATACTGTTCTGACATTGTACTTATGTTGTTTGATTTTGAGCTGCAGTGTTTTTCCTGTCTGTCCTACATAATTACAATTACATTTAACATAAGAACATAAGAATGGAGGAAACTGCAGCGGGCCTATTGGCCCATACTGGGCAGTCCCGTTTACACCCAACCCCTATTGCTCATATGAGCATCCAACCTATGTTTGAAGCAATTCAGCGTATTCGAGTTAATGATGATATTTGGTAACTTGTTCCATTCATCCACTACTCTGTTTCCAAACCAGTGTTTACCTATTTCACGCCTAAATCTAAATTTGTCTAATTTAAAATCATTGTTAAGAGTTCGCTCCTGGTTGGATAGTTTGAGTACCTTTGTAATGTCCCCTTTGTTTAGCCCTGCCTTCCACTTATACACCTCTATCAGGTCGCCCCTCGCTCTACGTCTCTCAAGGGAGTGCAAATTAAGATGCTTTAACCTGTCTCTATACACAAGGTTCCTAATGCCCGGGATTAGTCTTGTCATTCTCCTCTGAATTCTTTCCAAGGATTCTATATCCATTCTGTAATACGGTGACCAGAACTGAACTGCGTAATCCAGGTGTGGTCTCACAAGAGCAAGATACAGTTTTAGGATGACCTCGCTAGTCTTGTAACTAACACTTGCTACATGGAATACAATTACATTTGCTACATGGAATACAATAAACACTTCCATTTACATTCAAACTTGGGCTATTTCTTATTAACATATTGGTAATGGTTGAGTCATACTTGAAAACAACATTAATATTTAGTAGCTTGAGGGACCGAACTAACGGGACAAATTCATTACGATAGGGCAGAGTCAAAATATTCTTAAGTGTAGGAATTTGCCTGGTTTGAGAGGAATGAAAAGATTTTTTTAGCCCTTTTAAAACAACGATCAACAAACACAGAAGGTACCCGAGTTTCTGTGCAATGGAACGAATGTGTTTCAATTCATCGTCAATAAATTCAGAGTCACAAATACGCAGACATCTTAAGAACATAGCAGAAAAACTGACATTTTGGGAGACTCCAGGTGATTCGATAAAAAGTGTATGAAAATGTCTACCTGTGTGGGCTTTCTGTATACCTTAAATTTGTAGTTTTGGCCATTTCTCATGATAAGCATATCAAGGAATGGAAGGGATCCATTTATTTCTCTTTCAATTTTGAATGTGATACTTGGGACAATATCATTAAGCTTGTCTAAAAATTCCAATGGGTCACTGTTTCTAGGCCAAAGACAAAGAACATCATCAACATATCTATACCATGGAGGAATAAAGTCCACTATATTAGGTAGTAATCTAGACTCAAAAAACTCCATATAAATACAGGCTAGAGGAGCAGAAAGACAATTACCCATGCTCATACCAAATATTTGCTTGTAGAACTTCCCATTTGCTCTAAACACATTGTCAGTTACGCATAACTCTATCAATTTGAGGAAAGTATTATGTTCAGTAGTTAAATCTAGCAGTTGTAATTTATCTTTAAGAAATGAAAGTAGGTCTTTCACAGGTACTCTATTGTACAGTGAATTTACATCAAAACTTATTAATTCGCAAGGTTCGTTGTGTTTCTTGAGTTTATCAATTAAATCACTGCTATTGTGTATATGTGAATTAGATATTTGGCCTGTAAGAGGGGATATCATCTTTACCAGCCACTTGGATAATTTGTAAGTAACAGAACTCACGATAGGACGTAATGGATTGTTAAGCTTGTGTGTTTTGATCAATCCATACATATAAGGTAAAGTGGGATTGATTTGAGAGAGCTGTTTGATGAGATCGGGGTTCTTTTTCAATAACATCTTCATTTTGGAATTAGATGACTTATTAATATTTTCCAGGGGATCTTTCGTAAGCTCACAATACGTGCTTTCATCACTAAGTAATGAATTCATCTTATCATTGTAGTCACTTTTATCCAAAATTACAATAGCATTAGACTTATCAGCCTTGGTAATATGGATATTCTTATTTCTTTTCAAGTTTATCAAGGCTGTTTCAAATCTTTTTGGAATGTTTGAAACAAATTTCTTATGTAAAACATTATGTATACAACCTTTAGCTATGGGAATATCTTCATTTGTAACATCTGACGACTTATTCTTTTCCAGGTTGATTATACCTTCAGCAATAGTAAGCGGATTAACACACCGTTGAGTGATAGAAAACTTCCTACCAAAACCAAGAACAAGTTTCTCATTTGTCTGTAGATCATAAGATGATAAGTTTAAGAACAAATTTGGATCACTCAATATGGTCCAGTAATTATCGTCAAACAGAGCATTTAATTTGGCATTTAACCTTCTTTTTTGGGCTTTGTCAGTTTCACTAAGAAGTTGATATACAAAATCACGAATGGTGTGCCACTTATCAACACAAACACTGTTTTGCATAAGTATTTTACACTGAGCACTGTGTTTGAAGGCTAATTTCACATTATCACTTGAACTCTTGATAAGGGAATCTAGCAATACTTTATCCAACTCAGAGAATGCTTGATTGTCCAGATTTCTTAGTCTACTTGGAAGACAGGACTTGGGAACAATTTTATCATCTCTGCGTTGTTTCCCTTTTCCCGTGTGATTTTATCAAGATTTATCTTATCCACGTTTTCATTGTGGATCTACATGATATATATATGTGTGTGTGTGTGTGTGTGTGTGTGCAGGCCTATGTGTATGTAAGTATGTATGTACGTATGAAAGCTAAGTATGTACTGTATGTATGTATTTATGTTTGTATGTATATTAGCTAAGTATGTATGTATGTATCAATTTTTAAACATCTCACTGGCCATAACCTCACCTTATCTCACCTACTTTAAGCATAATTTGACTATATTATGATGGTAAACGACATATTGCATTATACAAGGCAAATTTTGATATAAACGTATTTTCATTAAGTTACAGTATATCAATAAAAACAAGAGGCTATCTGTATTCGGCAAAAACATTAGTGGCCTTTTAAGGGCGATGACGTCACAGCAGTAGGGAAGAGAGAGAGTTATATAAATATAAAAAGACAGGTCGTAGAGCGAGTCAAATGGACGACCGTAGCATATAATGAGGTAAACTGCCTTTTTTTTTCACAGGCAAACATTAAGAAAACCATTGCATTTAAAAATGAGAAAATATGTATTTGTTCTCAGGACTTCAACATCATGGCCTTCACAACCACGCTTAAGCCCACATGAA